CGTCGAGTTATTAACTCGTGTATATATTCTTCGAATGAATCGTCAGTTTTGTCTTGTCGGGGTAAAACTGGCTATTTCATGTTTCGGAACTTGTCTTTATATTTTCTCCCCTCTCTGAGGGCAACTGTTAACTGTTAATAGACATTATACTATAATTTTGTAAATTTCACTTTCTTAATCGTTCGCGGGAAGCAATTGTCGAAAGACAGTGATGAAATCCATTTTCTCTTCATTGATGTACGCTTTTACAAATGACTTTCTTGAAAAATACGCGACATACTGCATTCTCATTATGTCCCAGGCAGTGATGGGCAAAACCCTAGGCTTCGAATAAATCTAAAATTCGCTGCTATGTTTGTCTTGGTTCTTCTTTTGAAAACTTTCCAAAGAAGGAAACGAGACAAACACATCAGCAAACTTCAGATTTATTCGAAGCCTAGGGTTTTGCCCATCTCTGGTCCCAGGCTCGTATTATAATTGAAATGGATACAATTAGATCGTTTTATTTTGTTGACGTAACTAGATTATAATTATTTAAATTTCAATTCTCCGCGCTGATCTAGGGTTTTAATTAACACTTTACCGACCGGTAGCGGGTCAACATCCTATGTCCTTATCACCGGCCGCTCGGCAGCAGATCTTTCCTGGCACCGGGAATTGTATAAAAATACGAGAGCTTACAGAGCAAAGCAACTTGTATCTCAATTCAAAGTAACAAATACTTGATAGTTATCATAGCAGTTACCGGTCGGTGAGCGTTGGGGACAAAAAGTCGATTAATCGACTACCGGTCGGTAAAGTGGACGTTATTCCTAGAGCAACATCACTAAAGAGTATTTGGCTCCACCATGCTCTGGTGTATTCCAATCTATTGTATGCCTTGTCTGTGGTTATACGTTCTTATCTATTTTTATCATTTACTTTGACAGATAAAACGTTTCTGTTTACGTATTCTTGTCTTATTCGAATTCTCGTTAACTTAGCTTACGTCGCATATACAAAAAAATTATGAAAAAATATTTGCCTTTGCAAATAAATGTTCACTATCACTTTTATCCTTGACCAATTTTTACCTTTTACTCTGCATTTATTATATACGCATTCGTTTTACGTCTTCTGAACAGTTTGCAACTAATATTACTAATAGTACATACAACTAATATTTTCGATCTATAACAAACAATGGCACGACCGATTGCTTACTTAACTAGAAAGGAGGCAATATCTAGCTGTCATCGTTTACACAAGTACGACATTAGTTTATTAATTAAAAAGGAATTTTTTAATAATATATATATATTTTTTGTAGTAACAATTTAACTGAGGAAGAAAATAAAAATATATATGGAAAATGTAACAACTATTGGGGTCATGGTCATAATTATACAAGTAATTATTATTAATTTATTAAAATTTAAAAATTCTAATTGCAATTCCATTTTAGTTGAAGTTACTGTACGTGGACCTGTGGATTCTATAACAGGTATGGTCATGAATTTAACAGATTTAAAATTATACATGAAGAAAGTATTGATGGATCAGTTAGACCATAAGAATTTGGATAAGGATGTACCTTATTTCAAAAATGTTGTTTCAACTACAGAAAATTTGGCTATCTACATTTTTAATGAACTTAGAAGTTTTATGTCTAATCCAGATATTTTGTATGAGGTTAAAATTTATGAAACTGATAGAAATATTGTCATTTATAGAGGAGAGAAGGAAACTTAGTTTGCAAAATCTCAAAGCACAAAATGACAAAGAAATATTGTTTATTCTTTTTGTATATAAATATATTTAATATCTTAATCTAACAATCAGTTACATGGGTATAAATACAATGGTGTATACCTATATATATGCTGTTATAAGTATTATATTTTTTTAATAATTAAATTCAAAAATCTTCTTTTAACAATGCAATTCTCTTATACACAAAGAAGATACATTTTTCAGAGATAAGAATACATAAATGTATTAAAATATGTTTATAATAAACACATATAAAATGTATATAAATATGTTGCATAAATTATGTACTTATATAAAATTGTATCTATTAAAGTTTATCATGAAAAAAAGAATAACCTTCTATTGTTTAACATTACCGGATAAATTATATGGATGTAAATGCAGTAACAAATATAATAAACCTCTAATTTTATCGAGTTAGATAATATATAACTGCAGTGAAATTATTCCAATTCAATATTGCATTTAATCTTTTTTTCCAGTACTGAAATATTCCAACAACATTTCATCACATCTGTTAAGAGAATAAATGTTTCTATACTTTATTTTAATATTGCACATTTAAACATAACCTATTTCACTTCTTAATCATACATATTTGTACAAAAAGTAATAACTAGAGTAATATCACGAATGTTACGACGGTAAGCGATTTCGTTAATTTTTAATACAGTCCTTTAAAAAGACAAATCTATCTTTTATGTAAGATACAAAGATAGATTCTTCTATGATATATAAATGTAAAATACATATTTCTCTTTGTAAAAATACTAGTACAAAGTTAAGTTTTTAAAATAATAAAATTAAATAATACACTTTAATATATATTATGTTCTCACTCTTTTGTTTTTAAAGTTAAGATCATTGTTTCCTGAAAGAAAAACAGCCTTTTGATAGTTATATTGATAATTATATATTTGTATTAATGTCGAGTTTAATGTAACTTCTGATTGTTACATATGGTATTCCAAGTTCAAAATCATCCTTTGGCCAATACTTTAATACGGGCGATTGTTGTGGTTTTTCATCTTTTACAGAAAAATATGCAAAGAGGACAGCTGCTGTGTAACTTGCAATGAAAATAAACAAATGCCAAAGTGCATGTAGATAAGGGAAATTTAGATTTAGCCAAGTATCACAAAATAAACGATCGTTTAACCAGCAAGCAACAGCTAGTAGCCAAACAGCACCACACCGTAAACCCAATCTATAAACTCTCATGGACTTTGTCCTTAAGAAAAACATGTTCACTGTTAAAATGTGATGTTGCATTGTGTAGCTGTTTAATGATTTTACTTAAAAATTTTACCTTTTTAATTCAATTATCATAAATCCAAAGGCTGGTATGCAAAGACTCATTAATGCAAATGCATTTATTGCAGGATGTATAAATGACAAACCAGTTGCAATAAGAGTTGGTAACATTGCGCACAAAGAAAGAAGTTTTCTGTCATTTTGTAAAATATTTGGAAAATACCTTCTTGGAAAGAACATACAGAAACCAGCCATATATACCCACAAAATTGCTAATTCATCTAATAATTGTCCTGTTATGATATTAAAAAACATTTAGATATATTCTTATTCCTGAAATTTTGACAATGAATTACTTACCTATAAGAGACAAAGTAGCATGAAAGTATGCACTACTAAGACCTACTATCATTAACAAGAACCAAATGATATGAATTCCAGGATTTACAAATCGTCCATAATCTCTGAAGAGATGCATAAGGACAGGAGGAAGTAATAGAAATATCACATTGCTCAGCTACAAACAAGATTATGATTACTTCATTACTGCTATATCATTTTAATATTTAAACAGTATATAAGAAAAATAATAATTTAAACAAGCTGCTAGAGGACTGTGTCTTTTTAATAACATTAATGTTCTAAACAAAGAATATCTGCTACTTCAATTGATTACAAGAATAGTAAACAGAATTTATAATATTTGTATTTATTGTCATTGTAAAGTACAAACCGTATTCATAAATTCTGCAATACTAGAAGAAATGCTGTAATTACGTTCACACCAGTCGACAGGCGAACTACCAGCTTCAAATGGTTTCCACATGTCGAAGTATATCTAATATGTCACTTAATTTTTATAAATACAAAAATTTAGAATTCCTTAATTTGCAGTCCTTGGGGAAATTTTATAAACTTGATCACGCAGAAATTAGTTGGTGAACCGTTCAAAACTCACAAAGAATGTTAGAACAAAGGAACATTCGTAGTATATCTTTGCACCTTTTGTATGTTGTACATACCATTTGTATTAATAGTATATACTCTCGATCAAATATACCATTCGCGTATTAATGATTTCTATTAGTCACACCACAAATATCGTGTAATTATTATAATACATTACACAAAAGATAATTAAAGAATATATTATTCGCATGACATGTCAACATTTTATTTGTATTTTTATTAGAATTAAAGGACAAATAATGTCGGTACAATAATATAAATACATTCACCACAGAGAATGACAAATAATCGTGTAGCGTGAGGGGAAAGTCGCAAGTAAAAAACAACAAAGTCTCAATCTGTTATTTTCCTTTTGTCTTTGTTTTTACACTCAGGTGCAATTGATTCTTGCCGTGAGAGGAGAAAGTCACCAATTACGATGATGCTTCGAAGAAAACTGAGTTTTGGTTGGTGCTGAAACTGCTGGTTCTTTTACTAATGTAAATCGAAACAAGTTGACGAATCAGAGCAGAAAATCCAAGAGAATTATTTATTAAATATGTATCACGTATAGACATATGTGATGGTATTACGTCATTGAAATATAGGGTGCCCCAAAAATGTTGGAAGTCATTGAAGGGGTGGTTCGGAAGGTGATTCGAAACAACTTTTTCCTTAACGAAAATGTTGTACGAGGCTTCGTTGAGGAGATATTAACGGAAAACACTGACCAATCAGAGCGCGCGTATACCGTTGGAGCGTAGGGTACGCGCTAGGCGGCTTCGCTCATACGCTATCGCGGCCGCTCCACCGGTATACTCGCGCTCTGATTGGTCGGGGTTTTTTGTTAATATTTCCTCAACGAAGCCTCGGACAACATTTTCGCTAAGGAAAAAGTTGTTTCAAATCACCTCCCGAACCGTCCCTTTCAAGGTGTTACAACATTTTTGGGACACTCTGTATTCAGACGATTCAACCCATATAATCGTACGGTACACTCGTGAAATTTAGTGATTCGATCACGTAATATATGAAAAGATATTACGAGACAATGAATCGATGCGCAAGTTTCGATTAGGCCGGTGGTTAACCAGCTTTAGCCTCTAAAGTCGATTCTGTGATAACGGACGAAAGGATAGCCAATACGGTAACTGGCAGATACGATTGTCGCTCACATGAGATGATGGCCTTATCGTAGATTGGAGCGAATACCCGATGCCTTTTTTAACGCGAGCATGTGAACGGATCTCGAGACTCGAATTTTCGATTCGGAGCATCTAGTGTGAGAGTTAACGTACTCAGCAGGGATAATTACGGAGGTGGAATTTTATTTTCGACCGAAGGATCGTGTGGTTGTTTACGCGAGGCTTTTTATGAACGTGTGTTTCGTTCGTCAGCGCTCGTCGTTTCGCTGATCGTTCAGTTGTGCCTGGCTTTCTTGCCTGCTGCCGCGAATGTGGATACTTCACGGTGCGCTGTGCTGCTGCTGCCGCCGCTGTGCGTTTCATGTCCTCACCACGGCTGGTCACCTCCGGATTCTGACGAGATTTCCACATTTCTAAACGGTTTGGAATTGGTTCGTTATTGTGCCAGGCCCCGCCGTGATTGTCACTTGATAGCAACACCCGAGGCGCCAAAGCTGTCCGCATCGGCGCTTTCTTCAGCCCAAGTGGTATCAATGTTGTCTGGCAATGGTGTGTAAGGAGAACGTGGTATCATGGTTTGGGAATCTGTCCAGGTAATCGAAATATCATCTGCATAGTTTTCCGTTTTCGTTCCATACTCTTTACTTCCTGATAATATATCAAATAATTCCCGGGTTCTCAACTTACTGTTACGTTTTTCACCGTGACCTCCTCATCCTTCTTACCAAATTTCGAGCTAACCAAAAAGAACATCCCGTCGCGATCTTATCTCGATTCTTCGTGTCAGAAACCGTCATGTCTATATTAATTATTTGAAAATTACTCGGTTATCGATTTACTTTGATATCTAATTTACTTTATTGCTGACATGTAATTACTTTACTTGTTACATACAGAGATACCATGTATGGTAGCAACTGTGTCTATAAATTTTCCAAGTACTTGAAATTCAACAGTGAATTGATGGATATATCGTTTTTAGATTTTTGTTTGGAGATAGTGACGCGTGAAATATACAATATTATTTACAATTCTTATGATAGATTAATTTTAGCAAAATATTAAAAAGTATGTTTTTAAAGGCATTTAAAATGAATACAATTGAAGTGAAATATATGTATGTTTTGTTATGAACTGTATGTACAAATTATAATTTGATTTTTATGTGAATATATAGTTAGACTACTATAAATTGAACTTTGTTAAGTCGAAAGCATGCAGGTGTAAATCAAAGTTTTATTTATTTCTCTTTAAAAATTCTTGGTAAATCAAAGGAGAAATAGAAGTTAACTCAAAGTCATGTATTTATAAAAATTGATTTAATTGATATACATAGTTAAACTACTATAACATGAAACATAGTTTGTCAATGTCTAACCGTTTATCCATTCTGATGGTGATATTTATCCAGAATTTCTCTTACCAATTCACTTCTTCGAAGAATCAAACTGTTCAACAATTTAGTTTGAAAAATTAAGGGAGACTAAGATAATCAAAACCATTAATCAGAATATGTTATTTTTATTACGAATTGCTGCTAATAGTTACATTCATGCTATTGAAACTATTTTAGACTCAAGTACAATAAGAAAAAGGATTAGATTTTTAATCTTAATGAATTTACAATTGTAAAGGAAAATGTAATATTGTATTTGAATTTTTTATGAAATTATTATTTGCATAGATTTTTATGTCACATTTATGTCTATAAATGAAACCATATGTTTTTATTATACCCAACATGTATCAAGATATATGAGATGTGATAGATAGATTATAATTTTGATCAATCATGTATCAGATATTCCATAAATTTAGTAGTGAATTAAAAATTCAGAAATTGTTATTAACTAGCAATGAAAGAAGAATTAAACTGATATTTAGAATTAGGTTTATGTGTTACATGTTTTTAATAGCTATCACATTGAATATAGTGCACTTTTGTGCATGAGTACAAAATTTTACAAAATAACAGACAAAATTTGAAATAAAATCAGAAATAGCTTTTGGTAAATATACAGTAAGAAAAACAAAATAAAAAATCTATGAAATTGATGTATTGCTTTAGTTGTATGTCTTGTTAAATTACATTTCTTCTACATTTAATTATTTAAGTTTTGATATTAGCAACTACCGAATGCAGCTTATCAAAAAATCAATTTTACTATTTTCGTGTATAGTAGTGTGATCTCATGTTACTGAGAAGACATTGACAAAGTTTTATAGATCAATTCTGTTGTTTCTCCATCTTAACCCATTTATGCCTTGCATTCTATATATAGTCTACCTTTAAAAAATATTTATAGAAAATTTTCTTTCATAGAAAATGATTCAGTGTCATTGCACATACAAGGAATCATTGTGGAAAAAATAGTCAGTATTCTTTATGATCTGGAAGTGATAGTTTTGTTCTATATGATTATCTGTTGTACTTCTTACAAGGTTTAAAATTTTCATAGGTTTATATGACATATGATTTATCAAAACTACATTTCTTTTATTTCGTTTGGTATATGTTGGAATGCGTGGTAAATTAAATATAATAAAAGTTAAAACATGAAGGTGACATTGAAATTTCTGCAAGTAATAAACTTACAAAAGATAATATTTTAACTCTTTGCATCCTAAGAAGGTTCTTTAATATGAGCAATCAGTAACTTCAAGGATCTCTTGTAATATTGCTGTTGAAAATTAAAACTGTTCCTTTTCTCATAAAAATGATAAATGTTTGTAATTCAAATTTTATTTATTTATTTTGGTAATTCAGTTTATTACCATAAATAATACTTGAGCTGAGTTTTTGTATGTATCATTTCTATTGCCATAGTGGCACCAATGAAATGCTGTGTATTTAGATTCCAATATACAATAATACAACACTATTTAATCATAATTGTTAATATTGAATATAATCATACATAACATTAGACAAAAATATTAATTCTTCTTACATAGCTATTATAATTATTTTTTTCTTTAATATATTTATGTTTTATAATAATAATAGTCATTAGTAGTTTTTAGTATTATCATACATCTTAGGTAGACATTTTTATATTCATTCAAAAACTCTATAATAACAATGAAGTAATTCTATGATATATTGTGTATTCATTATTTAAATCTTTATCCATGTGCAGTTATAAACGTATCGATGTCATGTGCACGTTATTAAATATGTGCCTGCCATTTGAAGTACGATACCTTGGCACTTGTGTCGAGGATATTGGTAAGCGGGACTACAATGACCTTCGTGACACGGAACATCATGCAAACAGTGCCTCCGATCTTACTGAGCTGACGACCTTAGGGGTGGCAGATAAACGTACACGAAGGAAACTTGCTCTTTACATGGCATTATTACATTCTTGTAATTATGCATGTGCAGTAATCTTGTACAAGAATCTATCAAATTTTGACTATCAAGAGATCTCAAATCTATTAAATGGGACCACCTTCACACCAGATGACCAACCTTTAGAAGAGCTGCTCTTATTGTACACAATGGCTTTAAATCACCCAGCGTTTACATATGAGCAGAAGAGTGTCTTTGGCAATATTTATATAAAACTTCAAGAGGAGGAAGCTCGCTTGAATCTGTCAAAGTCAAACGCATCTTACAAACAGACACAAGTATGTACAAATTCTTATATCAATTATACTTGTTCTATGCAATTAATAATACATTCTTAAGTTCTTTCTTCTATTATTTGTATACAAATAAAATAATATGTAAATGTAGTAAATTCAAGATTTGAAATGTACTTCATTAATATATGTATTTAATAACAGGGTTGCACACCGTGTATGAATACAAATGAAAGGTTAATGGATACTGAAATGCAGGGCAATTGTTTAATGGCACCTCCTCCGATGCAGACTTACCATGGTAATTTATGTGTATCGCATGAAATATATGTATAATGTACATTATGTTCAATTAACCATCAAGAATTGAAGAATAATTGAAAAAAATATATTGGTAGTACAATTAAATAGTGGATGATTCTACATGAAAAAATAAGTTAATAATATGTAAATGTAAGATCTTAAATAAGCAAAATATGATCTGTAACGATATTTACTATACTAATTCATAGTTAACTGTCCAATTCATTTGCAAAAACTTTACTCTGCACTTTCAATTTTTTTTCTTTTTATTATTATTATTAAGAGTCGCCCACTTTCCACTACCAGTAATGGCTCCCTTTACATATATTAGATGTATGTATACAATTATATTTGTTAACATATTTCTTTTATATATTATTTGCAGGAGAAATGGCAATGAGAAATAATACTATGGTAACTGGTGTTCCTCCTGGTCTTTCGATGCCTCCTCCTGGACTATGTTTATCAGCACCGGAACAAATGCCGATAGGATCGGGTGGTGGAACACCATACCTTCATCTTGGCTTCTCATCAGTAAATCATATGCCACCATGGACAGGTCAGGTTATGATGGGGAATCAACTGATGTATCACACTGGCGATATGTTGGCTTATCCACCTTCCCCCTTAGTCAGCCGTCAATCGTCGCCATCCCAGTCACGATCTCCTAGCCGCAGTAATTCCCCAATGGGTCGCAGGAATAACACAATGCCGCGTACTTCGTCACAAGTGACTCAGTCTACTTCGAACACCTTAACAACGTCAACGAGTGCCTCTAACAGTCAGACAAGCATCGCAAGTTCAAATGCCAATTCTCTTCCCCCACTTCCTACACTTGGTACGAGTAGGAGTCATCCTGGACAACCTCCATTGCTTCCATCACGCTCTGTTCCTTTACCTATCAGCAGTTCTACAACTTTTTCGCGGCATAATAGCATAGAGAATACTCCTTCTACCTTAATTCCGGCAGCACCACAATCTAAACAACCACCACCACCACCACGATTGCGGTCCTCAACTTCTGGTGACTCTTTACGAGAAACGCTAGGGAAGGAGATGCCAAATTTCAAAGGCAACTTACAGAATTTTTCACTCGATGAGGTAAGATAGTAAAGTGCTGAAATAAATGAAATAATTAAATAGACGTGATTTTATTGGTATCGGAGAAAAACAAATTGATTTCATTAAAAATAATTGAAGTTTATTATACATAGATTACTATGTAATCGAATCTCATTCTTTATTTATATTATACATAAATTCAGTTTCTAGTAGCATATTTTGCAATTATATAAAGCGTAACATTATATAATACATTGACATTAATTCCATTACTTACTACATGCCACGAACAGATTCGGAGGATGAGCGACGAAGATTTAAGGGATATAGGATTAACACCAAATGCAGTTGGGCAATTACGAAGTATAGTTAAGAGTCAAACGACTAACGGTTTAAACCAAATTAATAGCGAGAAAAAATTGGACAATACTACTAACACGGGTCATGCAGTTGTAGAACCAATTGAAAATGAGGTAATCATTAAATACTTTACGTTTCATATTATACAAATAAAAAATTGCACGTCAAACAATTATTATCCAGGCTATACCGGGGATGGAGATGTTAAATGATAATGGAAATCAAAGCAGTAAGTCAATGCCATTACAGGAACAACATCCAGCGATGCATCATCATCATAATCACGCAGCTACTCCTAATTTACGGCGATATCCTAATATGCCACCATTAGATCCCGCGCAAATACAAATGTATCCTGCACCGCCACCAATGTATGCTACACAGAACGCACCATGTTATGCCTGTCTTACGTTACCTGTTGCTGGGGTACAAAATCGATATCCAAGGTAAGAAATATCAAAGTGATCACTTCACGAGGGTAGTAAAGCTTCGGAATTTTAAATATTAACCGTTCATTAATCTTACAGTTCTAGCAAATGAATTACTGTAACTATTTCGAATTTTGTATAGTTTATTACTCGTTATTCGGTAAATGTTTTTCTCAGATTATCATTAAAAAATACCAGTAATTGCTAAAGTTTACATTCAGTTACGTAAATGTGTGGTTTTTAGACGGCGAAGATGCTTCCAGACTCGTGGGAAATCTGAAAAAAAATTATCAATGGATTTATAATATAGAAAAGATATATATCTTGTTTGTCGGAAACAAAATGTAAAATTAATGTTGTGTACATTTGATTAAGAAAAATCAAAGTTTATTCATTTAAAAAAAATTTTTTTCCAAATTTTGCTTCCGACACACTTTAAATAACCTTTTTAAGCGCACGTGTAGAAAAGTTTCGAAGAATTGTTGGGGCCACCTTCAATATTTTATATCCACTGTTTCCGGAAACGTAGTTTTGAGAAAATGTCGATCGCGTTTAAGGTTTCACACTTTCTGAGTTCTTAAGAGAATGAATTTGTTTTTTATGTATAATCATGAAATTAATAGTTTTAAGTGAAAAATTGTATAATTGTAAGAAAAGGATTATCCTTTACACTAATTTACTTTTTATTTTTCATATTCCTTATGTTCCTTTATTTTATTTTCATATCTTTTTTGTAGTTTATAAATAGTTCATACTTTTGAAGATTGAAAAAGTTTTACGAGGTCGAAAGCATTCATATAATTTTTCGTTTCGTCAACGAATAATTGTCAAGCGCAAATAATTGCTTATCATTTTTTGGAGTTTATCAAATCCAGTAGTAAATCAAAGTCAAGTGTACATACAAATACTATAACACGCTACGAATATCGTAATTTAACGGCAAAACTGCCACCTTTATTATGTCAAAGTCAAAGCGTATTTACTTTGAGGGAAAGAAACGGACGTTCTGTATGTTACGTTCTAATATTTACCTTCATTCCGCTCGGAATTTGATTGCCGTTTCGCCAGTTTCTGGAACTATTCAATGAAGCTTGAAATTCACACACACACAAAAAAAAAACAAAACAAAACAAAACTTGTAGCTATTAGAATAGGTAACATCAAAAACGATATTTTGAAGATTTTGAGGCTTGGCTACTCTGCTTAATAATATTCGTTGAAATCAATTGAATTAATATAATATTAAAACGTTTTAGGTGCAATGCTCAACATGTGTATTGTTTGACGCAATTTCAAGCCTTGAGGTTAGACCCTGAGAGCAGTAGGCACTGTTCGCAAAGCAGTAGTTCCGATAGTACTGGTAGCAGGTCTCCGCCGGAAACACCTCCAGCAGCCCCGTGGGTGAGCGAGAGCAACGCACCACCAGTTACCGATCACCTTAACTCAGCATCGGCGCACTCTACGAGCGCAGTGTCACATCCAGCACCTCAACAGCCTATACAATCGATACCGGAGAGGCAACGTCCTAGAAAAAATCAGGCGCATGTGATGCGTCATAAAAATCAAATGGTGAACGGCGGTGGAGCACCGAATTTATCGCAATGCGTTTCCTTTCCCGCGCCACCAACGCAATCGCAGGTCACGTATCTGCCGCATGGTCATTTCTCAACTTTGAGACCCAGCAGTGGTATTTATTCTAACTTCTCACATGGACCGTATGCAAGACCAGCTTATCCGACCACGTATCAACCGAACGGTGAAATGATGTACCAGTATCCTGGGCATCCATCTTCAGGAGGAACACCCCCACCGCCACCGAACGCTGCCGCAACACCCGTACAAGCACCATACATGCCTCCTACTCCGGTTGTTACGTACGCGCCAGCTGCTGTCCCACCAACGAAAATCTCGTGTTATAATTGTGGCAGTAGCAATCATCTCGCAGTCGATTGTAAGGATCAAACGATGGAAGATCTTACGAAGAAAGGTAATCTTTTACTTCCTATTTGTTGGACTAGCAGCATTTGATTATTTAAATTTATGTCGCTTCTTTTCATAAACGATACATATTTCTAATTACAGCTCAGTACCGCCTAGACTACAGTATAATGAAACAACCTGGAGAGTGCCCAAGTTCTGACAAGTGATCCCCTGCCACGGACCACCCAGCAATTTACCATTATCATCACTACCATAATTACTGTTACCATCACTGTCATTATCATTCCCATTACCACTATTACCATGACCCCACGACAGCAATACAACTTAAGGACCGTTCAAAAGATGACTGCTATCGCTCCTTGTGCAAGTTTTCGGTGATTTTTGTAGACATCCCTTATATTCAGGACGACGATTTTTTAACTGAGGATGTTTCACAGTTCACGGTACCAGGTATACTTTTTACGAGATCTTATTTATGATAGTAATTATTCTTAACTATGATTGTAAAAAGATGTAGCGTCGTGTACAAAGGGAAAAGAACTAAAGGAAGCATAACGCAGAGTCCAGGTGTTCTCATCTATGTTGTTAGAATACATTTTGAACGATTTGTGTTAGACATTGACTCGGGTCTTTCCAAACGATACCTATGGGCTATTCACCCTCTAAGCCATTTCTCCCCATTTCTCTAATAACTAGCCATAAATGAAATGCAATGAAAAAAAAAAAAAGAAAACAACGCATTGTGCTCTGATTAGATAAAATCTACCACGTTTGACTATATTTATCATTGATACCTTTTCTTCTACTAGTATGTCTACTACCACTATTACTACTATTACTATTAAACTATTACTATTACTTCTATTATCGCTACTGCATCACGACGTTTTTATGTATATATATTTTCTCAATTCTTACGTGCGCAATGTTTGAACGAGTGTAAAAATATATAGAATGGTGAGGACGAAATAAGTGGGAAATATAGCGTGGAAGAATGACGAGTGAATGTGTAGACGAAAGTGAGAGAGAAAAAAATGAAGAAAGAAAGAATGAGAGAACAACAAACCATAAGTGTTCGATCATCTAGCTGCCGTTGCGCTCCTGTGTGTATAAAACTACGAATATATACGCCGCTCACCACTCATTTATTAATTTATGAATAGTTAGCTAAGTAACAATAACTCTCATCCTATTTATATAGTCACGCAATCACGTGCAACTTAAGCAATTTTATACGACTTTTATTGATCGCCCGTCTTTTTTAAATGTAACCGATGCGTTACATGCGTTTAGAATCTTCTTAGTGGTTAATGAAAAAAAAAAAAGGGAGGGGGAGGGGGGAAGGCAAGAATAATAATTCTTGGAATATGTGTTAGCGTTTAGGTATGAGTAAAGTGGCAATCTACGTTATGCGCTCGCCTTGTCAACAAGTTGCTACTACACTTAAATTAACTTTTGATTAAAAACACCATTAGCGAGTGTTAATCTGATTCTATTAGAGTGCATAATTTGGAAAATTTTTGACTAGCCCCTGTAATTTACGATGGTTTGTACTTTTTACTCGTAAGGCTCTCATATTATGCACCTGATCTATGTGTAGTGGGTCTTAAATACCTAATAGTATGGAATGAAAAGCTATAAAAGTGAACGAGAGTGAATAATGTGTGAATTTGAATACGTATGCATTTAAAAACTTTCCTTTGATGATATCTTGATATAAAGAATTTCTCAGGTGTTTCTTTTGGTTGGTACTCGAATATTTCGGCAGCTAGTCAGTGGCCACGTGAGAAAATTTTTTAGTAAATTAATGTACCAGTGTCGGTGTCTTTGCAAGGACGAAAGTTTGACTTTTAAGATTTAAAATCAGGCTCGCTGATTTTATTCTAATTACGATATAAATTCACTATGATGATATTATTTTTCATAGATTATTTTTTTATACGCGAGAAATGTGTTTCCTAAATGTTCTCTAAACAACGTTTGATCATTACAAACTCCAAAGAAAGCCAAAAACTAATTATTTATCGATTAATTACCAAAATCGCGTGTAGATTACAAATTTAACAAAAACAAAGAAAGAAAAAAAAGAATCGTAGGTCAGTTTAAAATTATTAAAACTGAAGACGTTGTTCCCGGTAATATGTTAGTCAAACTTTTGTCAATTGTTTGTAACAAGTTTATTAATGTAATTACAGAAACCTGGTTTCGGTGTTCGTAGGTGATGTTTAGTGAAAGTGCCATTTTTTATGTCAATACCTAGTGTCTTTATATCGGTCTACGAAAAAAAAAAGAAAAAAAAAAAAGAAAAGCAAAGGTTGACATTTATCTTGCTGTTACCATTAGCGAATAATAATAATTTTTTTTTTTTTTTTTTTCGAACTACCTGAGAAAAGTTTCGATGTGGCTGTGATCGATGAGAAGTTGGTGAAATTTATATCGAAGCTGTAAACCAGAACACCTATTCAACTTCACGATAAACAAAACGAAAAGAAAAAAAAAAAGATAAATTTGTTGGCATTCGCGAGCACTCTGTCCCAGGTATTAAGTGTTCATAATAAGTGGCAGAGTTCGTCTGAGTAAAGTTTACAAAACGAGAAAAAAAAAAAAAAAGAAGAAGAAGAAGAAGAAGAAGTAACAAGCCTCGTTTGTATCGCGTCAGAAATGTAATTGTGTTGCTTGACAATAGCGAAAGAATAAACACAGCGGTTTCGCGAATTTGTACGTGCTTCGACCACGAAACAAAGGAGTCTGACTTTATGGCATGCGCGTATGGAACGATAAAAAGATTTTCGTGTTTTTTTCGCGATCATGTCTTAAGTTCACGGTGAAAACTTCAGAACTCGGTTCTCGAGTTTTCGAGTAAATTCGCTTTACAAAAATTGAGAATATTATTAGTGTTAATTCGTTGACGTAATTTCTGATAACTTTGATAAGTTATAGAGAGGATTCATATACCACCTTGCCAAGCAGTAACAAATCATTGTTGACCAAGCAATATCGTGATAGTTTGTAGTCACGATTAGTTATTCGAAAGCAATAGTAATTATTAGCGCGCGCCACTTTATTACCGTTTACCAACCGTCGACGTTGACGGTGAGAAGGTGTAGTTTTTCGATCTAGTATCATTGGCAATAAAACGAACGCGATATATTTTGTCCTTAACTATTTAAGCAATATTTCTTAGAGTAACATCGGTATAGGTTTTTTCAGAGAAATATTATTGTATAGTATTAATGTTGTAAACAACAATAAGGCAGTTGTATGTTTTCGTTGCCAATCAGCAATTGTAGATAAACGAAGGTCGTGTAGTGCGCACTTTAGCAATAATGTCATGCTCGATAAACATGATGCGTTATGTAGATGTTATTTGACGAAAACAATTCTGTTCCAACGTGTCGAAGTAAGGAATTATGGTTTCCATTGCGCCGTTTCGTTTTATAAGTTTATTCAATATTTTATGGGAAATGCACTTTCCAACTGTACGTTCACATCGTATCGATAGTCTATTTGTCTTATTAGTTTCGTTCTCTGCAATACGTTTTTCAACTGTTATGTAACATTGTAAAATCACTTCCATTGGTTGCAACATCGCAGATGTGGTTTTAGCTAGAATTGAGACTCCTTTGTTTGGCAAATACCACGCACATTTAAGCTAGCGAAAAGAAACTAATGACAGCAAAGAAATGTTGTTCTTGGGAAGGGGAGAAGGAAGGTTGTCGGCTACCACAAGTCTTCATGGTTCCTGTGTCACCTATAATTGGTGATTTACTGGGAGCAGACTTATCTCTGCTCACAGAGAGTTAGGTTCTCTTCATCGAATCGGTATAGATCAGTCTCTGCTCTTGTCACTGTTTCCAATATCTTTTCGAGGCTTTGGCTCTTCTGTGATCTGGTTGTTGAGGCTCTTCTTCGGAGTCAGTGGACTCACTATCAGCGTAGACTCTTGGAAACGTGATAGGATCTTTGTTGTCCATGGTGTTGGTGACTTTTGCTTGATATCTTCTGGCAAGTCTCTTCTCAGTAGGGAGATCTCCTATTTGCCTTAAAACGTCGTTTCTGATGGGACACCTGATCCCCTTTCTTTTAACGCTGAGGTCTTCTATGGTTTTTTTTTGCCAACTCCAGACATCCTTCTGACAACGTATGGTCCTGCAGGTCCCAGAAGTCCATGGGATATAGATATTATACGCAATATAATAGAGATGTGAACGATTTCTACGGTTGACTTTTTCATATTCTTGCAAAGATTTGCAACTTGATATAGAGAATATCGTCACAAGAGTCTGATTTCAGCTAGCAATAAATAAACTCTTTTGTAGTTGTCTTCTGTAGAGAATTGTGATCGCAAAAGTGAGAGACTGGTTCGTGTAGTGGTTCCAGAGGGTTGAGCAACACTTTATCCAGTTTTCAAACTCTTTGTCTATTTTCTTATTTGACATCCTCATGTTTCGCCGAGATGCATGTCCAAACTGCAACCTACTTTGACCGAGTGCTCCATGTTTTTACCTCTCCAGCCAAGGTCACTTTTTTAGCCAAAACTACCAGTCCTTCCATTACATAAAAAAGATTTCTGATTAGTCCCTGTCCATGATAGACAGGCAACTGCTCTCAACAACCATTACAAAGCCAAACCTCATAGAGTTTCTGAGTAGAAGCAATTGGCAACACACCTTAACAGTCATAAGACACAAAGGGGTCGTCAGATCTACCGTCGGATTAGGCTACCAACCGATTCGTAGCGAAAGGGTAGGCTCGTGTATCGCGCGAAGACTGTGGCGGTCGTCGATTTCAGAAGATTCGTGTGTCTTTTTGGGTGGAGATCTGTTTGATGCAATCGTTATGCTACATTATTAAAAAAAAAAACAACAAAAAAAAAACAAAAAAAATAGTTCGAATGCTCTTGATCAAATCAGTATTATACCTGAACGAATCAAACAAAAAAGAAAAAGGAAAAAAAAAAGGAAGAAAAAGTTAAAGAACCATATCACTCGAACGGAAGCCGTAGAACAGAAACGTGAGAGATTAATAGTAGTGATAACTATAATGAAATGATAATATTGATATTAATTATAGTAATAACAATAAGGATAATATTATATATTCGTTGTAAGGTAGAGATGTAAAGTTTCCAGAAAGATTGGACATCGTTATGCCAACAAAAGTGTCTCGCCTTTTTCGTCGAATGTAGGCCATTGATGAAGATAAAAGGGAATGCGATTCGGACCGTGAACAGATTTTAACGCGTCAACCTTGGTTGTCTCTGTCGTTCTATCGTAATTCAATTAGCTCTTGTAATAATTGTTTCCGTTTCTAATCCCTGTTAGCACAACTACTCGCCGCTCTTTAACACTTTTAACTACTGGCCTGTTTCGAAACAGTCTACAAATTTAGATTTTCTATATCAGTATACATTCATCTAGGCTGACATTAATTTGTGTACATCGTTAGTAGATAGATCAAAAGGCTCGCGTGTTTCCTCAAAGCACACGAATAACAAGGTCCTGTACGGTGGACACTGAAATTAAAAACTATAGGCGGGCTCTCGGTAGATAAAAGTGTTAATTGTTCCTCTTCTCGCTTCAATTAGAACCGATCGTTAGCGTTTTTCTTTTTACG